CTGGCCCCCTGCTGCCTTTCCAGGCTTCATCCACCTTACTCTCCATTTCTTGATCCAGCAACACTGGCCTCCTGGCTGTTCTGCAAACAAACATTCCTTCTCCCACTTCGGAGCATTTCCCCTACTTTCCCCCTTGTCTACAACTCTGTCCCTTCCCATTTCCATCTCCTGGCTTCCGTCAGGTCTCAGCTAAATCCCATGTCCCACAAGAAGCCTTTCCCAGTCCTTATGCCTTCCCTCTGAGACTGCTCTTAATTCAGCCTGTCTATATCTGTCCGCATGTTGCCTCTCCCACTCAACTGTGAGCTGCTTCAAAGCAGAGACATCTTTGACCTTTTGTTGCATCCCTAGGGCTTAGCATAGCTCCTGGCACATTTGTTGCTGTTGTTTGTGACCCCATTTGGGGTTTTCTTTGCAAAGATACTGGAGTGGTCTGCCATTTCCTTCTCCAGCTCATTTTACAGATGAGGAAACTGAGGCACACAGGATTAAGTGACTTGTCCAGGGCCACATAGCTACTAAGTGTCTAAGACTGGATTTGAATTCATGATGAAGGGTCTTCCTAGGCTCATACTCTAGTCACTGTGCCACCTTGCTACCCTTCTTAATAAATGCTAGCTGACTCACTGTGCCGTTCAGTTGACTCAGTCATGGCAGAACGGTCAAACTTTAAACAGAAAACAATTTTGCCTTGACATCACTTAGAAGATCTATGGGGAGTGAGTGCCTCTAACTAAGGATCAGAGCTTGGTCTTGCGCCGTCTAGCACTTTTAGCAATGATCTGCACAAAGGTATTTCTGGCATGCTTTTCAAATCAGATGATGACACCATGCTGAGAAGGTTGTAGGTGATAATTTTAGAAAAGACATTGATAACACAGAGAATGCCCATTGCAGCAGAATCAGAAGGGGAAAGGATTTAAGTCCAAGTCATGAGAAGACCAATTAAAGGAGCTGGGCAAGAGAAGTGGTAGACTAGCAATAGGTGGGGAGGAGAGGTGGAGAAGATCCTTATCTCCGAGCATCTAAAGGACCACAGTGTGGTAGAACAATTAGGCCACTCAGAAACACAGAACGTGGGAGGTGAGAGAGATCTCAAAGACCATCTCTCCAGTCTAACTCACATACATTGGTTTGGTTCCAAAGGGCAAGGCCAGAGGCAATAGGCTGAAGTTGTAGAGAGACAACCGGAGGCTGCATTTGAAGGGAAAACAGCCTCCTCACAGAGCTTGTCAGAAAGAGGAATGGGCTGCCTTGGGAGGCTGCAGGCTCCCCCTCCTTCTCATGCACAGGGGAGATGAACACTTGCTTACTGGGCGTAGAATGATGGTGATTCTTTTCAAATGTGGTCTGGACTGGATGGCCACCAAGGTCCCTTCCAACTCTGATATCCTAGAGTTCTGTGGTGCTACTCCAAGGAATCCAGAAAGGATTGTAAAGGAGGGTAAAGTCCTGAGCAAGGAAATGGAGATCTTGGGTGTACAGGTGGCATTTTCCTCCTGGGTCCAGAACAAAAGAAATGGCTTTGGATGAGTAAGGCAGCTTGGAGAAGCAAGCAGTTGGCTAGGAAGATGCTGTCTGACCACGGGATTTGGATTTCTGGACAGTGTCTTGAAACGTAGGGATGACAGGTTGTTGGCAAGAGACAGCACATACAAGACAGGGGCCAGTAAGAATGCGTTGGCTGCAGTTGTGAAAATTGAATCAAAAGGGATTTCAGCTGAAGAGGATGGGGGAGGGAGCCAACTGCCTAGGTCCACGCACTAAGCCAAATACCACAGAGAGAAGCCACAGCGTAAGGAGAATAGCAGGAGCAATGTTCAGAAATTCACAAGAAATGAAATCCAAAAAAGGAGCAAGCATGAAAACCCACATCTCCAAATGTCTATACACGACTGCCCTAAATATGGGTTGGGAGCAAGACGAAAGGAAGAATGTAATGCAAAGAGACAAATTCTTCTTCATCAGCCACTGAGGTGTGGTGTGATGACACACGTGACTGGAATAAGGCTTTAGAAGGGATACCTCACACTCAAAGGATAGATAAGTAACAGAAGACAAGTAGAGCAGCATTCATCCTGCTGAAGACCTTCTGGTGTGATGGAATCCAGGAATCGGAGAGGGGAAGCATGTCAGGGAATATTTCAGTGTAGAGAAACAAAGGTAGGAAGAAGAACAATGTTGTTATGAGAATTTCTACAGACCACTTAGGCAGAGAGGAGAAATAGGTGCATCATTTGGGACACTGATCACAAAGCTAGGGTGTTAGCATAGCAGCAATGGGAGGCTTCATTTCTCCTGACATCTCCCTGAGCTTTCTCTTCTCAAAGCAGAGAGCTAGCTGTTGCTTCTTCTTTGCTTAACTTGCCCTAATGAGGAACAGACAAGGGGAACTACTATTTTTGATCTGATTCTCACCAACAAGAAGAAACCGTTTGCCATTGTGGAAATGATGGGAACCTTGAGGGGGAAGTAACTACTCCCTCTTAGAGTCTGTGACTGAGCGACATTGGGCTTAATCTGATATTCACTCTAAATTGAGGAGAGATTTCAAAGGGTGCAAAACAAAAGAGAGTTGTCAGCTCTCAAAAATGAAATATCAAGACCACATATCCAACAATTTGAACTCTTCCAACGTGGAATGGGGTGCCTTAAGAAATGGTGGGTTCCCTTCCTAGCCCTGAAGGTCTCCAAGCAGAGGCTGAATGACCACCCATCTCATGTGTTACATTGTGGAATACTTTAGGTTTGGTTTACATTACATGATCAATGACTAATACGGAAATATGTTTAATATGATTGCACACGTATAACCTATATCAGATTGCTTGCTGTCTTGGGGAGGGGGGAGGTGAGGTCGGGAGGGAGAAAAAATTTGGAACTTGAAATCTTATAAAAGCGAATCTTGAAAACTACCTTCAGATGTAATTGGAAAAAAATACTATTAAGTGCCTTACATGATCAATGAGATCCCTTCCAACCATGGAATTAAACTGAGAGATTGGATACAAAGAGTGGACACCGGTGTCCCAATTTCAACTTGAAGGGGAGTCGAGGCAGCTAGGGAGTGGAGCTTATGTTAGATTCTGTCACTCGCTAAAGGGCAGAAGAAAACAGAAACAATCAAGGTGGAGCCCTGGGCTGGAGTCAAGAAGATCTGAGGTCAAATCCGATCTCAGACACTTACTAGCTGTATGACCTGAGCAAATCACTTAATCTTTGTTTGCCTCAGCTTCTGAACTGTGAAATGGGGATAATAATAACACCTACCTCCAAAGTTGTTGTGAAAATCAAATGCAATGATGTCTGTGTAGTGCCTGGCCCATAATAGATGCTATGTAAATGCTCTCATTGTTATCATTGATGATGATGACGCTGATAAATTTTCAGTCTCTGGCCCTAGGAATCTATGTCCCTTTGCTTGACAACAACGTTATCAAACACTTGAACAAAGGCACATTGGACATGATTATCAAAGTATCAGCTGACCCCAGACTTCAAGGGGGATAATCAACTCATTGAAGGACAAGAGAGTCAAGACCTCAAAAGTTCTCCACAGGCTGGATCATCATGGCTGATCGAATATGATGAAATTGAATAGTTAGACCTGTAACATTCTATACTTTGGTCAAAAAATCAACTTCATTCTCCTCTCTAGGGGAGACATGACTAGGGATCAATTCATCTGAAAAGGCTATGGGGATGCTAGTGGTCTGCAAGCTCAATTTTAGGTAATTGTGTGATACGGTGACCAAAGAAGCAATCTTTCATGGCCCTGAGAGTCACATCAAAGAGCTTCTGTAGGGTTCTGCCTCAGCTCTATAGGGCAGAAAAACAGAAACAAACAAAATAACACAAAATCCATTTTTTGGCCCCAGATCTCCACCCAGAGAATGTGCCATACCATGGAAAGGCCCAGCAAGGATGTGACCAATAGACACATTCTCCGTTCTTCTCAGGCCCTCAAATAACCACGGGGGGCGGGGGGGAACACTGACAGGAGAAAGAGAAATTGAAATACGAGGAGGAAGAAGGAAGAAAGAAGATAATGGGGGTGAGGAAAGGGGGAGGAATGAAATGGAGAAGGACAGCAGCTTCAAAAGCAGCCTTTGTCCAACCAAGTTGGAAGAGAGATAATGGGAGTATTTCTTCATTTCTCTGGCCTCGGTTTCCAATGTGCAAAATGAGGCATCTGGACTAGATGGATTCGGGGTTTCTTCTGCCCTTTCTGATGCTCTTAAGTTCTAGGTTCCAAGAATCATAGATTACCACTTTGAGTTCTAACATTTTGCTATTCTCTGGTTTCTGGTCCTGCATTAGATACCAATCACACACGGAAACGGACCCAAGGGGATGCCACGTGGCCTTGGGCATAATGGGCCAGGACACTGACTTTGGAGTCGGCAAGACCCTGATTCATTCCCAGCCTCAGACAGTTATTAGCCACCACCCAAGGACAAACTCTCAACTTCTGTTCCTCCAACTGTAAACAAGGTGTAATAATGGTGCCTAGACATAGGGTAAGCATAAAATGAAACATCATATACAAAGCATGGGGCCCAGTGGAAAACAACAGATCCGGGGATACAGGGCCTGGGTTGGAAACACAAGTAGAGACTTGGTAGCTGTGTGGCCTTGCTGGATGGGCCTCAGTTTCCTCCTCTGTACAATGGGGAGGGGGTTGGGTTAGATGGGCTCTGAGGACCCTTACAGAGCTAGGATCCTAAGGGATATTGGAATATGAGCTGCTATTATTCCAGAAGTCAGAAGTCATGGCTCTGAGAGGGGAAGAGAAGGACCTTAGACCCTAGGGCTCAAGCTGAAAGGACCCCAGAATACAGGATACAGAATGTAGGAGCTGGGAGGGACATTGGAACCTAGAACTGAGAGAGACCTTAGAACAAAGAATATTAGAGCTAGAAGGGACCTTAGAACATAGAATGTTACAGGCGAGGGGGAGCTTAGAACATAGAACATGGATTGTCAAAGATGGAAAATACCTTAAAATTCAGGGATCTCAGGGAGGGGTCTTAGACCCTGCGTCTATCCCCCGAGCAATAAAGTGGAAAGATCACTGGACCTGGAGTCAAGAGAGTTTGAGGATAAAATGAAACATCATATGGGTTTGACTCCCACCCTGGTACTTCTTAGCTGTGTGACAGTAGGTAAGCCTCAGTCTCCTCCGCTGTCAAATGGGCATAATGATGGCCAGAGTAGCTAAATCACAAGGCTGGTCTGAGCCCCCAAAGTGAGATAATGTACATGGAATGCTTTGCAATCTATGAAGTGTTTTTTTTTAATTAATGTTGGCTATACATGTCATTATCACATAGAAGATCAAAGGGACCTTAGCGACCATTCAGAAAAACCCTGATATTTTACAAGAGGATAAATAAGGGCCATGAAAGCCAGGTTCAGTGATTCACCCACCGTGCCCAGTTGAATTGGGTCTGTGCTTTGGAGTCAAATGGGGGTCTTAAGTCCACTCGTAATTGTTCCTTCCCCAACATCCTGACAGTACCCTCTCCTTTATAAAAACAGGTTCTTTACTTACGTCTGCAGGGCTGGAGAAAGCTGTGCCGGCCCGAGAGGAAGAGAGAAGATGCTCAGCCAAAGGGATCTGACGCAGCCCTGCTGGCCTGCCGCTTGATGACCAGCGAGTAGAACAGGGAACTTGGGTCTGCCAACCAAAGAGACGGAACATGATGGGTGAGGTCTTTTTTACATTTTACTTCGTTGATTTTTTTTTAGAGATCAGATTCATTTTCATAATAATTTCCTCTTTCACTATATCCTTAAAACAAAGAACAACAGTTAAGCAGAAACAACTGACATGGCAATTGCATTTGACAATGTATGAAACATTCAATATTCATAGACCTCCATCCTTCCGAGGCACAAAGAGATGCATTTGTTCACCATCTGTCAGATCTTACGGAAATTAGGAAGCCCTCCCATCTACTTCCTATAAAATCCTTTCTCAGACATGAAAAGGAGCTGGGTGCTGAACTTCAGCCTCAGTTTCCCCATCTGTAAAATGACGACTCCATGTTCTCCAAGACCCTTTTCAGGTTTAACTGTCTGTGGTTCTTTGATTCTGTTGAATCGGGACTTTGGGACTCATTGAGGCAGGAGATGTGTGCCAGGCCGAGGCTAGGTTAATGAGCACACTAAGTGATAGATAGAATTTTCTCCTTAAATCTTGAAGGGCAGCCTGTGATCTCTATTCTTCCTCACATATAGACTTCTCCAAAGAAATTGCTGCTCAGACACATCATATTTTGCAAAGATGCCATGACAAATATTTTTGAGATGTGATATTGACCATAACCAGGCTCCACCAGTCCATCACCTGGTCAGGGAGGAATTCCACAGTAAAATAGCCCTCATCATCAATGGAGCCCAATTTATCTTTTTCCCCGTCACTAATGCCCTGAACACTGTAGGTTTGTTTTATTTGATAAATGGACATATAGACCTCACCAGCACCAAAATTCATCCCAGAAAACAGAGTTTGGAGGGGAAAAGTGAAATAGAATAGAGATTATCAGAGATGGGATGGACTTTGGACCATGGAATGTCAGAGTTGGGGGGCCTAGAACAGAGAACACAGCATGTTGGAGCTGGGAGGGGGGCTGGAGATAACCAAATTCAAGCCAGTCATTTAACACGTGGGGACATGGGGCCCAGAGAGAGGAGACTTGTTTGCATCTCACACCACTGATGGGTCCCACGAGGCCATGACCCTGCAGCTGCAGATCCTCCTCCCCTCCATCCTTTCCCACACCCCCAAACCATTATCCCATGAACAGCATCCAGCTGTTGGGAAGAAACTTCTCATAGTGCACGCTGTTGAGTCATGCTGAGGCCACACGCTCATTAAGGAGAACAGCCACCAAATGGGGAAGAAAGTGAAAAAGCCCCATGCTGGCAGGGGGAGGGGAAACTCCAACCACAAAATCCTAACCGCATGCATGTCCTCAAACTCAGCAGCTGGGACCACAGTCACTTGTCTCCTGGTGACGGTAATGGCCTGACTGGCCTTCCATAGACCACGGAGTCCAATGCTAAGACCATGCTAAGACTACAGATTCCAAAGCTGATTGAGTGGCAGCCAATCAGTCAATAGCGTTATGAAGCACTGATGTGCCAGGCACTGTACTGAGTACTGGTGGATAGAAAAAGATGGAAATAAACAAAGTTGGAGATGTGGGGAGGAGGGGCAGAGGCAGCCAATGACAAATTGGGGAGCATGGCTGCTGGTGCTGCTTTTGATGGGGCTGAGGGAAGAGCAAGGAAATGGGGGGGGGGGTCCCCTCCATGCCACAGTCGGGCCCAGCTGCCTGCCCAGACTCAGGCAAGAGAGATCGAAAAGCTCCCTCCAGATAAACATCGATGGCAGCTGTTTACTGACACTGGACACTGTGTTTACACAGCACCTTTCCGGGAAAGCCAGGTCAAGCAGGGACATGGGACGGCAGGACCAGGGCAAGCCAAGGCCTGGGAACTAGCTTCCTGGTCTGCCCACAGAAATCTCACTGTTTGGTTCAGAGCTCTGCACAAAAATACTAACTCCCATATAGAAGAGGGAGAGAGAGATAGAGAGACACAGAGACACAGATGGAGGGAAGGAGAGGGGAGGGAGAGAGAGAGAGAGAGAGAGAGAGAGAGATGGAGAGACAGAGAGAAATGGAAGGAGGGAGGGAGAGAGAGAGAATGAACACATCTGGAAATAGTCCTCCCTGAACATAAAGTTATGTGAATCCAGAGACAATCTGGGATTTCTTTCAGGTCACTGTAGGAGACTCCCAATGTCAGAATTCCCTCTAATGTCTATGCAGACAAGTTCCCAGGCTGAAGAGTCAGGAGGTTCAGGGACTTGCCCAGGGTCAGACACTGAGTGACTAAGGCGGGATCTGAACTCATTTCCCTATGCCATATAAAATACCCCCTATATTCTCTGCCTCTTAGCCATTGGATTCAGTGGGAAATTGTCTACAATGACCTTTCAGAATATCAACGAGAGGCTTTCATAACCAGTCGTTGGTTAAACAGAACCACATAATGTCTGACTTGGAAGCATTTCAGACCCACTCACACCTGAGCAGGAATCCCCTCTGTAGCATCCCTAACAAGAGGTCATCTACCTCTGCCCGTCTACCTCTAGTGACAGGGAGCTCACTGCCTCCCAAGGCAAGCCATTCTGCACTACTACAACTCTGCCCTCTGGGGCCAAAAAGAAAAAGTGAATCTCTTCTCCAGAGGACATCTCCTCAAATCCTTTAGGACAATGGTCGTGTATAGCCTGAGTCTTCTCCAGGCTAAGCTTCCTTAGGGTGTTCTGTTGTCTCCTAATCCTCCTTGCCTTCCCCTGGACGTTCAGTGGCCCCTGGATTTGGAATGGATAAGACCTGATTTCAAATCCAGCCTTGGACACTAACTAGTGGTGTGACCCTGAGCAGATCAGTTAACCCCTGCCTACTCAGTTTCCTCGTTTGTAAAATGGGAATAATCATAGCACCTCCCTCCCAGGGTTGCTGTGAGGATCAAATGAGATCATATTTGTGAAGTGCCTACTGATGATGATGGTGATGATAATAATGATGATGATGGTGATGATGGTGATGATGTAAAGACAAGCTCTCAGATTGCTCTTCCTGAGACAAGAATCCTTGGTCCCAGGCTGCTCATGGTCACCAGCATACCTGTGGCTGTCTTAATAGATATCTTGGGACTCTCAATGACCCACAAGACCCAGAAATCCCCATGATTGGACCACAGGCTCATGGGGATCCAGAAGGGGGCCTGACCTGTTTCTGCTCAGTCCCAGGGGATGGAGCCAAAAGCAGCAGGGAGAAAAGCTGACAAGAGGCAGATTGGGGCTGGGGATGGGGGTGGGGAAGAGCAGACTAGGTCTTTGAATCCCCATGCTTTTCTGCCACTCACCTAGGCCTGCATGGGCTCATCTTTAAATAGCTCTTGCTATAGAAGCCTCCAAATAACTCAGCAGGAACAAATTTTTAAAACAGCTGGAGTCTCTGGTTTCCTCGACACATTTTCTTCAAAGGAATCGACCTGCTGCTGCCTGGTTGAATCCATCATTGCAGAGGAGAGAGCGGTGCTGGGTGTGCAGACTGCAAACCCGAAGGTGACAGATGTCCAACCTCTGGCACTCACTAACCATGTGGACCAAAGGACGGCCCTTCCTCTCCAAAACTGAGACTCAGTTTCCCCATCTTTAAAATGGGGCTGACAGTATCTGTCAGAATTACCTAACACGCCTATTGGGAAAACTACACCAAATCCTTTGTTCTGTGTTCAAATATATTATGAAAATTCCAGGAGCCCCAAGGGGCAATGGAGAGGCCTTATGCTGAGTGTACGCCCAGGCTGCGGTGCCTCACCATGACCATATATGTACAAAAAGGGGTGTAAAGGTAGGAGATCCCTGATGGGCAACAGCTCCCATTTAGAGTGATTTCTAATGGAATCAGGACACAACTCAAGTCTGATTGGTCTTTGCCTATGACAGAGGAGAACGTTCCTGAGCCCAAGGTTGGAGAATCTAGCCTCCTTCAAGTCCTTCTTACTTACCTCTACAGCCCTTCCCACTTCTGTCACCACCTCTACCATCTTCATGCCTCAAACTCAACGTTGGGAAGCAATGTGGCAGAGTGGAACAGGGGTACTGGATGTACAGGTCCCAGGAGGACTTGGCTTTGAATCCCAGCTCTGATGCTTGCTACCATGTGACTTGGGGCAAATTTCTTAACATCTCTGGTCCTCAGTTTCTTCATTTGTAAAATGAGGAAGTTGAACTACATGGCCTCTGAAGGTCCTCCATACTGCAGATACATGATCCTATGAAGTGAGTGCTAAAGACAGGATTTGAATCCAGGGCTTTCTGACTCCAAATTCAGGGATCTCTCCCCCACACTGCACTGACAGGCTAGGGTTAGCTTCTCCCCTGTTCTCCATCACCTCTCACCTAAACTCTCTGTGACCTTCTGACTGTTCAATCATTGATTTATTCTTGATGCTGAGGGTCATAAAACCCCTAATTCACATTCCCCCCTTGCTGAGTCAGTCAGCAGGCATTTTGAGAGTCTGCTATGTGCCAGGCATTGTGCTAAGTGCTGAAGATACAAAGGAAGGCAAGAACAAAGTCCCTGTCCTCAATGAGCTCAGGATCTAATGAAGGAGACAAGAAAGCATCTGCGGACAAATGAGGTCCAAACAAGATAAACTGGAGGTAATCAAGAGAAGAGAGGCATTAGCGTCGAGTGGGATCAAGAAAAGCTGCCTATAGAAGCTGGGACTTTAGGGCCCAATGGAAGCCAAGAGGTTGAAAGGAGGAGAGAGTAAACTTCAGACATGGGAGACAGTCTTCAAAAGTCCTATGAGTTGTCTGTGGAGACAGGTGTCACTAAAGACCATCAGTAGCTTCTGATTGGCTATTAATGAAAATGTAAACTTCTTCTCCTGACATTCAAGGCCTCTCATCACCTGGGTCCAGTCTATCTTTCTGGTCTTATCTCATAAAACCATAAAACAAAGGCATTGGATTTCATCATTTCAAATATGCTTATAGCTATAATGACCTCAGTCACCAATACTCCTCATCACGTTTTCTATGTTCTAGCTGACCTGTACTTTTGGCCATCCCTAAATATTGGTGCC